TTTTTCCTAATAATAATAATAATAATAATAATAATAAAACATGACTCATTGAGAGTGGTGAAACTACAGACGGCGTTGATTGATAGATTGAAATAGAAAGATCTAACATTTGAAGTTTATCGATTTCTACAATGACCTCAATTAAATATTTTAATAATAACATGATTTATAATAATTAAATATTTAACAAATTTCTTAGTACGTATATACAATTTGGACAACAAGTTACAGGGGATTTATGTAAATTCGTAACAGAGCCTCTGAATCTGCTCAGGGTGAAAGTAAGAATATTCACCATTATGTCAAGTTCCGAGTATTTATGCAACTTAAGTGGCATTTGGAATATTATATGTAGAAGAAGATATGAAGTTGATCAATATATAGTGTGTTCTTTGTATATATACATATTTCTTTTGTTTAATTTTATGTGATAAAATTAAAACTTCGAAAAAGTTCTCACTTTAATTTGTACGGTAACTTCATAAGTGGACATTGCTGTAGCTTGAAGCTTTAAAATTTAGAAATATAATTTTTACAAATAAGCTCTGCTTTGAGTGAGTATTGTAACAAAAGATCGATTATGCATTGATGAGCCTAAATATGAAATTTGGGGTGATTTAATGTAGTTTTTGAGGTGTTTTTGGATGAATTTGGTGTTTGGATTCAAGGGAGAAGACAAGTTCAATTTTTCGATTTGTAGTGTATAATATTGTATATGAGTGTATAGTGCCTTTTATACGTTGTATAATGTTATATATGGGTTGTATAATATTATATTGTATATCAAGTTGTTAAACATTTTTGTAGAACAAAATATGAGAGTTTTGTATATTATTGTATATGGGATGTATAACATTGTATATTAGACTGTGTTTTAATTTGGCTAAAATTTTGTAATGTAAACTTTGGGGCATATAAGTTTGTACTTCTTTTGAAATTATCCCATTTTTATATGTCTTCTCAAATAATTTGAATTGTTAATCGTTGTGACTTGTAGTATTCTAGCGCTTTTAAATGTCTAAAGAATTCTATGTTTAATTTTAATTATGATTAAAATTAAGAAATTTGACTTTTGAACATGATATCACATAAATTGAAATAGAATAGCTAACAACGTTTATGATTTAACATCTTCTTACATCAAATATTCTATGGGTGGTGGGGTGGGGGGTTAAGTATGTGGCCCTGATTGCGGGGGATGGCAAGTGTTGTGGGACTAAGCAAGAGATAGTCCGCAAGTTACTTAGAAAATAACTTTAAGGACGCCCTAGGAATTTCTAGGATTAGGATTTTTGCGAACTATATAAACTCAGCTAAATTAATGCATTTATATCATCTCATCGAGAATTAATAAGAGTTGATGACTAACATGATTTTTTTTCCTCCTAAAAGATCCTCACATAAAATTGTGTGTTATTTCTTTTTCGATATTATTATTTCGATTACTGTTGTCTCATAGGGGTAAGTCCAAGGGGTTCATCTGAACCCTATTTGACGAAAAATTATATCATTTATATAAGATGTTGAATCTGTTTAACTTTTTTGTATATTTACTTCTTTATATTTTTGAAGTATCCTTTTTTTTTATGAAAATTCAGACTCCATCGATGAGGGTGTGAGTTGCATGTTAAAAGTTTCTTGGGGCATCTTGTCAAATTATATTGAGGTGGAAAGTAGGTACTCAAAAAGTGAGAGGAAGATAGTGGGTATACAGTATACACTTGACAATATTAGTACTATATCAACTATGCATGCACGTTGATTAGTGTCAGGAATGAAATTGACTGCCATCTCTTCTTTTAGAGCCCAAACCTTTGCTTCAATGGTTGTGGCCCTATATACTCAACTAATCCCACTTGTATCGAATTTTGTGTGCAAATGAGCCAAAGCCACACTCAATCAACTAATAAAAATTAATTGGAGTACACTTTAGCTTTTAGCCACGAGTAGTATTAAGATTCTTTTTTTCTAATTTTGTTATATACAAAAGCTAAATACAAATAACCATGCTTTGTTAATTATTAGTAGATAACTTTATGTACTCATTATTAACTCTTAGAAGCTTCATGAACCTTGTGAGTTGGTTTACGAAGATGCTTTCACACCCATTTTATGAGTTTTTGTTATGTGTCGTTTAAGGCGTGGGTGAAACAAGTGTTGATTATGGGTTTGGTCGAAACTAATTTGAATGTGTTTATATATAAATTATTGATTAAAACCTTATAATTTTAAAAACTAGAATATCGAATTCATAAGATTTAAATCTAGACTTGATTTCTAGCTTGAAGTCTTGTTGCATGTTCGTACGATGATTTAGATGATTGAAACCCTTTGCATATTGTTGTTGAGATATTGATCGATTGGTTAAGGATTTGGTGTGGAGTAATTTTTTCTTAAGAGTTTGTCAGATAGTTCAATTGGATTTATAGATTATATTCATACTCAATTCTCAATTCTCATGTGGAATCATAAAAAAGAATATTTCAATCAAGCACATTAGCGTATGCAGAATTTTTCATAAGCATCAAAGTGCCAAACCACCCGTCAAGTGCACAACTTTGTTTACATCACTGTCCTCTAATTGTAATATTTCTACCTTCTATTTTCATTTTAATTATTATTCATATTAATGTATATCTAGTAAAAGAAATTAAAATAATCAATGAATCAATGTCACACGTGACACCCGTCGAGTCAAAATAAACAATCCTTACTTAGGCAAGACAAGTTACTTTTAGTCAGACACCTCTTTTTTTATGTTTAGCTCCCTTAAAACAACGTTCGATCCGTCACAACTAATAGGATTAAAATGGTTGAATCAATCAAATGACCCAACGGACATAAAACAACTCAATTATACTTTCTATCTATCCTCTGCCATGAAACCTACTTTGCATACAATTGAGACAAAATGTGAGAGTGATCAACAAGAAAAAAAAAAAGGGGGACCTACCTAGCTAGTATTTATATATATACACCCCCACTCATTTTTATTAAGATAATAATAATGATCTTGACATTTTCACATGGATTCATGTATGTCCACATATGAATGAATGAATGAATTACATACAAATAATAATACTATAATTTTAACTTACCATTAGATTTCTTCCATGCAACTGTCCCTACTATTCCCCTAATTTCTCTTTCACCATAATCTTTCCAACCTAGACTGAAAATAACACAACAATGTGGAATACACCTTCATCAATTCTTTGAAAAATATGGCAATGTGACCATCAACACATGTCATTATTTCATTGGTGTAGCCAATAAATGAAATTTCATAATCAATAAGGAATCATTTTCTTTTAAAATTAACTCTGATTGTTGCCCAGAGTACATCAATTTCAACATGTCATTTTCATTGTTTATATTAGTATTATTATTAAGCTTTAACTACTTTAAACACTAAACAAGTTATTAGTACTAATAATTAATTGATTTATGTGCACTCACTCCCAAGAAGAACTATGATTTTAGTGTAAGAGAAAGTTCTAATCATCTCGACGTAACTGTAACAGCCTACCCATCTAGTGTTATTGTCCGTTCTGGGCCTAGTCTGCATGACTTTAAAACGCATCACTAGTTGGTAAGGTCCGCTTACATGTATACCCAATATCACTCCTATGTTTTGTCGATGTGGGATCTCTTATCTTAAGCTGGGGTGTTACCACTTACCCATATAGAGCTTTGTAATTACTTCTTCAAATTGTTTTGGTCAATCAGCATAGAATTCCAGGCTACCTAGTACTTTTATTTATTTGTACCAAAATATAAGGACTAAACTACATGTTCTGTTTTCTTTTCCTTCCCACCCGGGTCCAGTATCCGTAGTGGGCTCTGATTAAGTCTGGATAGGCACATTGCAAGACTCATTTTTGTGAGCGACACTCCTAATATGATTTTTTTAATTCTTAAGGTGAAATAATCGTAATCATCCCACCAAAACTCCTGCACGTATAGTTTGTAGACATATAGTAGCAGTACTTCAGCTCCTAAATTAGGTACTGTTTCTTTACACTTTCAGTGTATATAAAGCAAACCCTTACAACAATTATTTATCATAGTCCCCTGCATTTTTTTTTAATGCAAAAGCAAGAAAATCAGATTAGAGCTCTGTCTGATCTTGCTACTTGCAGATAAACCAAATATTTCATGTGGCCCAATTTTTAGTTCTTTTTTTTTTCATTGACCAATTTCATTTAAACATGGCATTATAATTTTTTTTTTAAAAAGTTGAAGTGTCATCAAAGTGTTCATTACCAACATGGAACAATCAAGAAAACAAGATGAATCAGAGTTCAACTTAAGGGAATGGGCTCTTAAGGCTAAACTAAACAGAGAAAAAACCAATTCAAGAAGGTACTCTGCATCTTATATTAGAAGTTTTAGAGAAGAGGCAAAATCTTTTAGATCAAATGTAACAATTTCAAGTACTGCTTCCTCTCCTGGCTACACCTTAAGAGGTATGTAACATCATGAACACAAACGAAATCTTGAATTGCGTATAAAAACAGTATTGTACTAGTAGTACTAATCATTTTTATTTTTTTTTACTACAGAGGAAATTGATCCATCAAAATATTCTTTTACCACTGCCCTCAAAGGTGAGCCATGATTTTGAACACAAATGAAATCTTGAATTGCGTATAAAAGCAGTATTGTTTTTTTTTTCTTTCAAGTGCAGCATTACAGGCAAAAACAATATATAGTTGGGAATACATGTCACCAGATGGTTTGGCTTTGAATTCGAAATGGAATGAAGCTGAGAAATATATATGTAATCCATTGTCAGGGGAAGTTCCTTTAGAATGTTTGTCTGCAAAAATACTAAGTGGAAGATCATTTAGACAACCATCAAGCAGAATTACTATTTCAGGTCCTCTTATTTATCCTTCTCAGATTCAGAGTACACCACAAGTCCAAACAAAGCACCATGTGAAAAAACCTTCTTTTTCTACACATGAAGAAGTTGAAATCAAAATCCCAACCAAAGGTGAGTTATGTTTTCACTTCTTTATTAATGGTGGTTAAAACGTTTAACTACTTGAGCAGTTATTCAAAGTTATAATTGTCAAAAATACTTTTGAGAGTTTCCTATTTGAACTATCATGTTTTCACTTTTATCAACTATTTATCAAAACATACCTTAACTATCAACATTGTCAGCTAGGAAAAAGGAACAACTGATAGTTGAGGTGTGTTTTGATAAATAGTTGATGATAATTCAGGTAGGAAAAGTGAACATTTGATAGCTCAGGTGAAAAACTCACAAAAATATGATACTTCGAATGTGTTTTTGATCATTATAATATCCTAATTTTTATTTATTTTCTTATATCTTCAATACACCCTCCCACGTGCCAGTCTGATTATTTTTATGATCTTAACACGTAAAAATTCGTTTTGATAGGTAAGATTTGAACCCATGACGTCTTTCTTTTCTAATAGTACCACGTGTGATCATATCGTTTAAAAATTTAAGCAGTTAAACATAGTTGTAAGTTCAACACTATAACCATCATTTCTACTGACAATTTTGTTTTTTTGGTCTTTTTACACTTTGTATATAATTGTAGAGAAGAAAGAAGTTAGCATTACAAGAGATGTGGGAACACAGAGCATTTCAGCTTATGTAAGTTCAAGTAGTCCAAGTCCTGCTCCAACTCCATCAATTGAAGAAATGTCTATGAAGCTAAGTGAAGCAGCTGACTCCTCAACTATGACTACTCCATCCATTAAAGAAATTTCCTCAGATCACTCTCCTGTCACTACTCCTAAATTAAAATCTGAGCAAGAGGTAAGAAATTTATTACTTCTTCCTTTCTATTTTATGTGACAAAAAAAAAATGAAACTTGTGGTCTAAAACAATTTTTTTTTAGATATTTGTGTGACTGCAAATCATTCTATTAAAGGTAAAAAGAGAATTTAGCATATTAGCATTTGTTAAGACCTGATAACCTATAGTTACTTCCTCCGTCACATTTTATGTGACACAGTTTAATTGCTCATAAGTTTAGCATATTAGAATGACATAATTATTAACCAAAAGAAAATATTAAAAGTTATTTGTTAAAAAACAGTTTAGAAGAGAATACATCACATCACATCGAAATTTTAAATTTGTTTTGAATTGCCAAGACTTATGAAAATAATGACTCGATCCCAAATAAATTAAAATTAGCTATATGAATCATTACTGATCATGTTTCTTAATTATATTCATCTCAACCCATTGTAGAATTGTTTAAAATATTTTGGTATGTTTCAAAATGAATAAAGAGTGACATAAATTACAAAAAGAAAAAGGAAACCATATGTCAATAATTCTTAACTTTGGACCATGTCTTATAAATGATCCAAGGATCATGATGGATGAGGGACTATAGTACTTAAAAGACTAGATTATCTGAATTGACTATGCCCTATTAACTGGTGTGTGGGGTGGGATGGGGGTGGGGGGACTACATAATTAATTGGTCCTTTCCATCACTATAATTCACCAAAGCACATGCCAATCCCTTGCTTTTGTGGGCACAAATTTAATTGTGTTGGACCTTGGCCTTTTTCATATTTGTGCATTTCTTTAGATTTATTTTTCTAAGAATGGTTAACAAGTTTTCTACCTACTATTGGGAAAAAAGACTTACCTTATACCATAAAATTCTTAATGAATATTGTCATATTATTGTTGTGTACAACCTCAACAATTAATGCAAGACAAGTTTATTTCAAATACCAAAGCACAACCCCACAAGCCAAAATCACCTTAATACATATTGTCTTTACCCTCTTTCCCCCCCTCCCCCTTTACAGCTATTGTACTTTGTTTTTTCTTATTCAAGATTACTCAGTAATCCTAAGAAATAGTAATAGTTTTATCTATCTATGTGAAAACTACAGCAACTCTATGCTTAGTTTTTTTTTGTTTTTTTTTTTCAAAATTAACGAGAGTTTTAGTTTTATCTGTTCACTTGGAGTTGTATCAATTCATTTTGTATATGTTATATCTAATTCACTCTGATATATAGAGAACAAATACTTAAAACAGTTAATACATTGATACAAAGCGAATTGAATAGTACACTGAACTATTGCTACGTTTGGTAATTAACCAAACTACCACTATGATTGATTATTAGGCTCAACGTACCGCTATTCTTGAAATTTCCTCTTTATCTATTCTACCATGTAGCTTACTAGTTTATCAATCAATATACACAATTATAAGTTTAAATTCTATTTAAACAATTTAATTAATTAAAATAATAAAAGAGCATTGCTGATATAAAATTAAGAGTTCATAAGTTTTATATATAGTCATGTCATCTAAACAATATATACAAATATTAAAATAAGACATGTTATCTGCTAACTACGATAGATAAAAATGACATAATAGTGTAAAAAGAGTATATACGGACAAGATATATTATTTATACATTCAAGTGTACATTGATTTCAGGATCTCATTCAAACATTTCTGACACTATTGTACAATAAATGTGTGTGTATATATAGGTGGAAATGAAAGAAATAGGAGAAGAAGACACAAAAAGAAATGAAGAAATTCAAGAAGAAGGAGAGAGAAAGAAAGTGAAATTGGGTGGGGGGTGTTTGTCATGGAAGAGTTTGTGGATGAGAAGAACAAGGCAGAGAGAGAAGCATAAATCAAGAAACAACAACATTTTTCTTTGCCATATAAATGGATGTTATAAACACTAAAATTCAAAAAATAATAAAAAAAAAACATGTCCTTGGGGATAGAAAGATTCTCTTTCCATCACACCCTTTGTCTATTCTTAGATTCTAGTATATCTACCAAGGATCTATAAAACATGCATGTCTATTCTAATATCTTGTCATGAACATTTTTTTATAGAGCTTTAAATTATCTTGATTCCTTTTATTTGTATTAAATATTTTGACTAAGAACCAGATTTTTGTAGTCTTCCCGAATAATTACTTCTTTATTTTTATTGGTCTACAGTAATATTGTATATATAACAACATGCTCAATGAAATTTCACAAGTGAGGTTTGGGGAGGCCAGTTAGAGTGTACGAGGACTTATCACTACCTCATGAAGGTAGATAGGTTGTTCTCGAAAGACCCTCGGCTCAAGTGCAACAAATTCGATAAACACAATGAAGGAAATATAACAACTAATAAGAAAAGTTGTGCAAGGCCTACAAGAAAAGAACAATAACAAAATAGTGCAGTAACCGAAATACAATAAACAGATATAATGATGGATATCAAAAGTAAGAACTACAAGAATACGACTAGTAACGACATACACCTACAGCCTAAATCCTTGAAAATAAAGACAATATTCCACTACAACCTAACTTTCAACCCTAATAGGTGACCTCCACACCCTCTTATCTAAGGTCATGTCCTCGTTAATATGAAATTGTCATGCCCTGTCGAGTCATCTCTCCCCAATGCTTTTTCGGTTTATCTCTACCTCTCCTCGTGCCTACTATATCCAACCTCTCGCACCTCCTCACATGGACATCTGCACATCTCCTCTTTACATGTCCAAATCGTCTCAATTTCACTTCTTTTATCTTGTTCATCATGGATATCACTCTGGATAACCTCATTTCTAATCTTATTACTCCTAGTATATCCATACATTCATATTAGCATCCACATTTCTGCACTAACATCCTCATAAGTGAGTAATTTTTATTTAATAATACTAAAATTTTGAGATTAGAAAATAATCTCGTTATTGTATTATTTAATCCAAGGATTGTTTTTTTATATTTTAAAAATATATATAATAATTCAATTCTTTTCTAGCCATTGATAAAAGATTAAGGGACTTGTCCTATTCAAAATGCGAAGGGGTTATCATTTCCCAAACTCAAAATGTCAAGGGGGTAAAGTGGATTTATTTAACGGAAAAGGGCCAAAAATACTCCTGTACTATTTGAAAAGGTTTGAAAATACCCCTCATCCACCTATTGGGCTAAAAATATCCCTCAGTCAATCTTTTTGGTCCACTATTACCCTTTAAACTAACAGTCTTATAATTTTTAATTAATTATTAATTATTACGTGACGTCTTTCTATTGGATAAAGTTTAATTCCAATCCACCAAACTTTCTTTTACCTCCACCCGACACATATTGACACCCCTTGACCCAAATCCATATTAAGATAAAATAAATTTTTATACATTACCAATCTTTATCAAGATCAATATAGACAGTACATTGAAGATAAGAAAAATGGACAGTACATTGAAGAGAAGAAAAAGATTTTAATAAATTATTCCATATTAGAAATTAAATTAATCAACATAGTACCAAACTTTACATAAATGGACAGTACATTGAAGATTTTAAAACGCACCAACATACATACACATTTATACGGTAGTTGGATTGGGACATTGATACAAGAAGATGAACCAAGAAATGAGTGGCATTGAGGATCAGTAGCAGCAAGATCAAATGAAACGTGTAAATGGGATAAAATAGATTATGTGTTTAAAGCTAAAATAAATTGGATGAAATTGATCTTGAAATCGCTTAATAAGAAAAGGGGAAGAAGAAAAATAGGATATTAGGTTTAAGGGAGAAGAGATAATTCAATCTTTTTTTATTTCTAATGGATCTTGTAATTGGGTTTGGGTCAAGGGATATCAATATGGGTCAGGTGGGGGTAGGAAAAAGTTTGGTGGGTTGGAATTAAAATTTAGGACAAATTACTTAACTACACTCCTTTATAATTACTTACTTTAATATCCATTTATCCCTACTTATTTCAAAAATTTCAAAAATCCCTTATTTTACCTATGTATCCCGTGCACAACGCTATGTATCCCGCTATGTGGAATGTATCAAACGCTATGTATCCCGTGCACAACGCTATGTATCCCGCTATGTGGAATGTATCAAACGCTATGTATCCCGTGCACAACGCTATGGCTATGTGGAATGTATCAAACGTTATGTATCCCGTGCACAACGCTATGTATCCCGCTATGTGGAATGTATCAAACCTAATGTATCCCGTGTACAACGCTATGTATCCCGCAAACATCATTTTTAAGGGATTTTTGGTAAATAGAAAACTAGAAGGGATAGGATGTTATTTAGTACTTATAATATGTGGTTCCTATAATTTATACTAAAATTTATCCAATAAAAAGACGCCACGTAATAATTAATAATAATAATATTTAAAACATATAAGGTTGTTAGTTTAAAGGGTAATAGTGGACCAAAAAGGTTGATTGAGGGGTATTTTTAGCCCAATAGATGGATGAGGGGTATTTTTAAACCTTTTCGAATAGTACAGAGGTATGTTTGGCCCTTTTCCGAAAATTAATGATAAATTAGGAAGAGTGATTTTATAAGTGAAAAACAGTAAATTGAATGATCTTATTATATAACTTTTTTTTTTATAATTGAATAACATTTTAAGATATTTACTCCGATAAGAAAAATTATAAGTGGAATCATGAATAGGAAGCAACTCAAGGATATGGGGTCATATAGGGGATCTTTTTTCACTTTTTTCATGTTTACTTTTGGTTTCCTTTTGCAGTATATTAGTCATGAGTTGACGATAAATTGAACTTCTTTTGTAGGGAGTGACTTTGTTTTCTGACAAAAGTTGGGTAAGGTATCACGGGCATGTTGTGTATATGAACTATATATGATATACAGTTATACACTCCATCCTATTTATTTAACATAGAGATGCAAACAATATATAATGCATCAATTTGTATATATAGTTGTATCCAAAACGTGCGTGTCTTCATACACTTGGAACTTTTTTTGTTTACATATATTTGTGGAAACATTATTACATACATATAATAGGATAATGAAAATAATACAAAGTACATATCAATTTTGGTGTATAACCTAAATCCTTAAAATCAATAGAGTTTCATATTCAAAACTCACTTACAAGTCAACTTGTGAATAGGGGTGTTTGATGGATCGGTTATTGATTAAAATCAAAATCAAACAATTTGATCGATTTTTAAATTATTAAAATCGAGCCAAATGAATATAATATATATTTATTGATTTGGTTGTTATCGATTTCAATTCAAATATTTGGTTATTAATCATACACGAAAATAAAAGGAATGATTCATTCAAAAGAAGAAGAAAAAAAGATAGCAATTCACCTAAAAGGAAATGAATTATGTACGTGCCATTTTGGATCTTATAATTCTTGTAACAGAACACCAATTATGTTTAAATTCTTGTTAGCTAATCTAATGTACTTAACAACATAAACTTATTGAAAAATGTATAAGCTAACGATATTGTTGCACAAATAAAAGATGCATCATAATTTATTTTTTTCATTAGAGTGATGCATTTTTCGCATAAAAGAAATTTCATTAAAATAATATATAATTTGTCAGTTCAGTTATTTCTTCGATTTTTTTGAACAAAACCAAAACAATTACTATCAACTTTTAGAAATGTAAAACTAAACCAAACTAAATAAAAATGGTTTTGGATCGATTTTTATCCATGGATATCCCTAACTTGTGAGGATAAATTATGGATATTGATTTGATAATAATCTGCATGTAAATCGATATCTCTACGAGTTGTTAACAACAAGATGTCGTTGTAGTATAGTGGTAAGTATTCCCGCCTGTCACGCGGGTGACCCGGGTTCGATCCCCGGCAGCGGCGTATTTTTTGTTATCTTTTTAGAAAAATCTTCTTGGTATCTGTTTCATTGCTCGATAAAATAGACGTATAACGTAAAGATAAAGTTGTTGTCAGCTCAATAAAATAGACGTTTATAATGGTTAAGAAATCCTTAAAATAGAAGGGGGAGCCTTGACTTTAAGATAAAAGTTGTTGTCACGAGTTTAAGCCGCGAAAATATTCTCTGGCAGTAAATCAAGATAAGGTTTGCATACACGATCCAATGTGATCCTGTCATCCCCCAAATCCTACATGTAGCGAGAGCTTAGTGCACAACTACTACTACTAAAAAAGAACTGATTAACTACTGTAACAAATAATAAACGTAAAGAAGTGTGATTGTCATATCATCTCTGTTTCTTTTATGCTGGCTATTCTTGCATTCTCTCGGTCCTGCTTGAATGTCCAATACAAGGGTGTATAAAATAAGCTACACAAGCCAAAAGGCAGGGCCATCATTGAAAAGAGACCTTTTGACAATGCTAAGGCCTCTTTGGAAGATCCTAACACCGGATCAACAGACTTGGTATCATAACCATATAGTTTCTCCGCGAGAATTCCTACAACTGGAGCTGCAAAAGAGGAAAACGAGACCTCAAAGGCGCGATCAAATGCATAAATCATGGTCCTGTGTTTTGAAGGCACAACTTCTGCAAACATGGGACCATTTGAAGCAGTAGAATTCCAGCTGATTGTTAGCCCCATCAGGAATAATGTCACAGCAAATGTGTAGTAGCTACTCACAGACTGGGGGACAATTCGAAGAAGGAACCATGAGAATGGGATGCCCATAAAAGCACTAAATTGAGCACACATGATACGCCCTGAATGAGGGTACGTGTGAGATATTCTATCTGCAACTACGCCACCAAAAAAGGATCCTATCGCACATCCTGCAGCAAATAGACTGACAAGTGCTGCTGCACTGTTGTGATCAAAACCTGCATCATCATTTCACGTTTATATAATCGACTCAATGGACAGTCATGAACTTCAAAACATGAAATGCAGGCTACTCACCAATTAATTCAAACCACAACGTAAAAAAAACCATGGCTGTCCACGGTAAGGACCCAACCAAACCTTGCAAAACAATGAACTGAAACGTTTTCACTTTCATGACAGCTTTCATTGCTGTCCATGACTCCATCCAAATCGACATTGAATTGGTATTTCCCTTCTCTATCAAGCCCTCC